ATTCATCTTCTTATAGAATTTATATTATTCAATTACAAACACATTTGAGGTTAGACCACCCTGTTAGTCCACACTTGCTCCTGGAATGGGAGGTCAAAATAGATGAAGTTAATGCTCATAGACAAATAGAACAAAGCTGATTGATGGGTACATGATGAAAAGTTGACCTTACCATGGAATGTAAGGGCAATGGAAGGCTACAAATGTTTTCACATGAGATTGGTGCCACAGTGGCTCTTAAGGGGCTTTTTAGAGAAGGACAAGCACATTGTAAATACTGTGCCAGGCCTGTGCTATGTGTATGCTCAACAACCCAGGACCCAAACCTCTATTATTTAATTCTACTCAGGGGCAAGGCACTTACCCAGGAGAGGACTGACAGTCAGATTTCACTCACATGCCAGCCTGCACAGGATGGAAGCTCCTGGTGGTACTAATAGACACCTTGAAGGGTGGTTAGAGGCTTTCCCAAGAGAACTGAGAAAGCTACAGAAGTAACACGGATTTATTTTAAAGAAATTATTCCTCTAGAGTTGCCTCAGTTACTACAAAGTGAAAATGGACTCATTTGCTTCACAAATAACCCAAGGACTGGCTAAGGTATTAGATATTAGATATCATTTACATTATGCCTAAGGTCTCAGTCCTCTGGAAAAGTAGAAAGAGCCAATCAAACCTTGAAGCATGTCTCAGCCAAACTTTGCCAAGATATTTCAGAGAAATGGCCAACCATCCCCTTCATCACCCCTATAGAGAGATGAAATACCCCAAGAATAAAAATTAAACTGATGCCCCTTTGAAAGGCTTTGTGGGAGACTGTTTTATAAGAAGACTTGACAACCTACCTTGAGACAGGACAGATATTAAAATATTTTACTAATTTGGGGCATTTCAGAGGACAATTAAGGAATCTGTCTTTTTCTGCCCTGGAGCATATTAATCTCAAGATCAAACCTGGGGAACCAGTCCTAATAACTTCACAGAAAAGCTATCTGTCAGAGCAATTTACTCCAAAATGGAAGGTACCCTACACTGTCATCTGGGCCACTCTAATGGAGATAAAGGCCACTGGAGGTGTACAGCTGGATTCATCTTTCCAGAAAGATAGTTTCTTTAATAAATCCCACTGTTCCACTGACTCCAGAACATGCAGGCAAAGGGACATTCATGTGACCTAACTAAAGATGACCTGAGGGAAGGGGACACCTGCTTATGATGGCTCCAACCAGGCCCCTGCCTGCGGTCACCTTCCTAGGCTTCCTGCTCAGTCCTCTGTGGAAACAGCTGCCTGGGGAACCTGGTACTTAATGTTTGATTCACTGATCCACAGCCAGCACTGATGCAGGACTGCACCCTAACAGAAGCTGTCACTGGCAGTCAGCCTAGGAGGAGGCCCTCGGAAAACTCAGACATACTCTCCTGAATTAACTCTAAGTGGCAACATCTTCCCTCCCATCTGGCCTTTGTTCACACATCTAAGCAGAGACTGAACTGTTAAATTGCCTTTTTGCCTACACAGTGACAAGGACTCAGGTCCCCACCAGGTGGAAACCTGCCTGACAGGTCCACCTTCCTTGCTCCGAGCTGGTTCATCATCCAGCAAGAACTATACCATATCCTCCCACGAGCTTTCTTCTTTCTTTGTTCTCTGTTCCTGTTACTCCTCCTGCCCACTCTCCATCTCTCTCCTGACCTATCTTATAGGCAGCTTAAATCAGATTTTTTTGAGGGAACCTCACCTCTGAATCAATTCAAACTCCCTTCTTACCAATATTAACTAAAGATAAGTGTTTTTTCTCTCATTAAGTATAATAACAAGTGCTCTTGGCTCCCTAGGGTCTTTAAAAAGGTACTTTATACCTTCAAAGGCTAGCCAATCAAATCCAGCCCAAAGAACCAAGAATCTCCCCATTGGATGGTACCAATTTGGCAGCCCAGGGAATGACTGTATAGGGCCAAGCATGGAGTAATGTACCTCAGTCGCTAACTAGCCTCAAAAGTACTGACCACATACAGACCCTCAGATGACCACACTGCACTTCATACCTTCAAGCCAAGCTGCTGGATTCAAAAGGTCTCTATTGGATTCATGGACAACAGGCCTTCTTGATGTTTCTCCATTGTTAGAGAGACACTTGCTCCCTGGGTGATGTAACAGCAGACAATCCCATGGTCCGTGAAAGCACCTCCCACCATGTAAAGCATCCATGCAATCGCCAACAAACTTGCTTGAGGTAAAAGGTCTAGGAGCCTGGGACTCATTATATGTCTAACAACAGTTAATCTGCTAGTACTTCGAAAGAAACTTCAGAGTGTAGCCCAAGTTCAAGATTAACTAAGATCCCTGACAGGGATGGTCCAAGAGAGCCTCAGACCTATTCACTGCGGGTCAAGAGGGAACTTGCTTGTACCTCTGTGAAGAACAGAACTTTTATGTGAATAAGTCAAAAAGATACAGCAAAATATCAACAACATGCTGTAAGGAGCAGATGCATATGGGAATCTAGGAGACAGTCCTAACCCCAGGCTGGCATGGCTGGGTACTCCCAGCCCCCTTCCCTTACTGTGTCCCTCCCTTCTCTGATTATCTTGCTTACCCTTGGCCCTCTCCTTCTCAATAAACAGTTTGTTTCTTCCAAAATCCAACTGGCTAATTTACAGATGTCTCCTTCCCCTAAAAACCAATGCCACCAGAAACAACCAAGAACACTCATGTGACCATGGCTGGGGGAGACTTCTGTTCAACCCAGAACCAACAGCCTAAACAATTTTATGGATGTGCTTTTCTGGGGACCCAGGATCTATAACAGCATTAAGGATAGACTAGGGGTGGACTTTGCCTTGCCTATCTCTGCATCCATCCTCAGCTTCCCTAACGAATTAGGGGAAAGTCTCTTGGAGAAGTTGAGGCAGGCGAGCATAGGAGATGGTTTAGGTTTGTGATCTCTATCTTGTAACAGTGTACTTGTTAGCTCAGTGCCTTCACCGGCATGTGCCATGTACACATACCCCGTATACCCCAATGCACCTAGCCACCTCTGAACTCCCTCAGCTGCCTGACTGGTCAGATTACATGCACACCAATCTTGGAAATTACTATAGTTTCTCCTCTCCAAGGAACAATCAAATCAAGACAGTTTCTATTCATTGTATTTTCAACATAGTCAGGTACAATCCAGCATGAACTGGTTTAGATGTGTGCCCAGTAAGCAAAGCTGTCTTCTCATAACCTTTTAGGGAGGTTCTTGTATTTACCATCTTATGCCTAAGCATAGTTGGGCATGCATATAGGTGAATCCAGATGCATTGTGGGGAGGGACAAGCATGGTAGGAGAAGTGAATACATGACCTAATCGATCAGTAACCAGTCTGTCCTTTCTTTAGACCCCATGAAAAGAGATCCAGGCTATGTGTGACCTGAAGCCCTTGGGTGCCCTCCATCTTGGCAGTACCACACTCTGTAACATGCACTATTACTTATCTCTGAATAGAGTTGTTCTGTGTTTTTAGGAAATCCAAATGAGCCCTTATTTCAGTTCTTTGGCTAGGAGGCCATGAATCTGGAAATATCCTGCAAAGACCCCAACCACTTGTAACAGGTTTTATTTTGTTTTGTTTTTTTTTTTAATTGCCTGGAATTGAACCCCAGGCCTCCTGCATGCTAAGCAGAAATGCTTCTGCTATACCTCAGCCTCCCTCTTTCTATAGCCTTTATATTAATGCAGTAATTAATGGCAACTCCCTTAATCTTTTTTTTAGTTGGTTTTTGGATTCTTTGACATATTCATACTGGTATGCAATGTATCTCAATCATATCCACCTCCCACAGGTAATTTTTTGTAAAGAGCCTGTCATTTTTTTTTCTGTGGAGTAAGCTGGTCCCCAAATTTCCCTGGGACTTCCCTACCTACAGTGTGGAAGTTCCGTGTCCTGAGAAACTCTTCTATACTAGAAAACCAGGCCATGGTTCCTCCTAATTTTTTACTGCAGTGGTGGAATTCCTCTTTTCTTTCATTTGTTTTCTGAAAGGTTCCTTTGGGCAGTCCTCAAGCTTGGGAGGCTCCTGCCTCAGTTCCTAATTGCTGCTGTGCCTGGTTTAAAAGCTAGTTTTATAATAGTAGTTAGTTTACAACCTTGGATTCTCTTAATGAGTTAAAAAAAAAAAAAAGTCCCAATGCTTGGCACCCACTCTGGAGGTTCTTGTTTTGTTTGTTTTGAGGTACTGGGCATTAAAGTCAGGGCCTCACCCATTCTGGCAAGTGCTTTCTTTACATGGAGTTCAATATAGGTCACCTAAAGTTCAGTTGTATTTGCCATTGGGCCACCTGTGTATACGAGTGTGGACCCACCTCCAAGACAGCTAACTGCAGACAGGCATGTGCACTAGCCACCACTCTGGAACTGGGAAGAAAAGGGGAGCTATTCTATTGCTTTGCATATAAAACACTTGGGTGAAGACAGAGGGCTTGCTGGGGCTGTGGTGCTGGCTGAGAAGGGAACTGTTTCAGTTTTTCTGATTTTTTTTTTTTTTTTTGAGACTGGGTTAGGTTCTAGATGGGCCTGGAACTTGCTGTGGGGTACAGGCTGGCCTTGAATTCTAGCTATCCTCCTGCCCGTCACTCCCAAATGCCAGCATTACAGGTTTGTGCTACCAGCGTCTATCCATGTGTTTTCTTCCTCTGACCCTAGGAATCCAGTCTTTTTTTTTTTTTTAAGATTATTTTTCTTAGGTCAGGATTGACTGAGGTGATGTAAAAATGAAAGAAAGGGAAAACTGACCTCAGAGCAGATCGTCTTTTATTAGAAGAACAAAGGGCAATGGTCTCTCCAAGAAATGGAGACTCTGTGCAAAGACACAGTGTGTTTGAGAGGTTTGTAGGACAGAAAAGGAAGTTTTGAGGGCAGAAAGTTTCATCTGTAGATTTATTTCCTGCAGTCTCAGGTCAGTAACTGCTTACTGATGTTCATGTGATGACTATTCTTGGTTGACAGTTTGACTACATCTGGAATTAACTAAAATCCAAAAATGGAGGGCACACCTGTGAGGAATTTCTGCTTGATGTGAAGTGGGAAGATCTACTTCTAATCCTTTGAGGTGGGAAGACACAACTTTAATCCAGATCTTTTGAGCTGGGAAAACCCACCGCTAATTTGGGCCATGCCTTCTGCTAGAAGCCTGTCTAAGGATGTGGAAGAAGGAAGCTTTTGTTCTTTGCCTGCTTGCTCTTGCCTCGTTGGCAAGTCCATTCCTTCACTGGCATCAGAGCCAACTTCTTCAGAACTCCAGCATATGCTGAAGACCAGCTAAGACATCCAGCCTCATGAACTGAGCAGCTACTGGGTTCGTGAACCTTCTGTTCATAGACATCCATTGTTGGACTAGCTGGACTACAGCTTGTAAGTCATTCTAATAAGTTCCCTCTCTATACATGTAGATTCAGTTTATATGTTCTGCTACACTAGAGAATCCTGACTAACACAATCACTATGCTGACTTCCTTGTCAAGAGTTTATTGACTCATCCTAGGATCTTTGCTTTAGGTAATTAACCCTTCATTCCAAACCCAATGGACAGATCAGATGAAAATGGTGGTGTTTTCTTTCTTTCGTTACTTTTTGCTCAGTGTGTGTATGTATTATATGTGTGTGTGTATATATATATATATATATATATGTACATGTGCATATGCATGTGTGTATATGTATGTATGTATTCATGTGTGTGTGTGTGTGTGTGTGTGTGTGTGTGTGTGTGTGTTAGGGAGCAGTGAGAGAGTTTAGGAGATGTTCTCAGGGCTTAGAGGGGCACAGGCAAGGCTAAGCTTTTGGAGTAGGAATGTAGTTTTTATTTGGTCTTGAGTGGTTGCCCAGATTATGGAGTTTAGGTGGTTATGTAAAAAGCAAACAAGACCATTAAGAACACAGGCCAGTGCAAAGGCCCAGAAGGATGAGGAGGATGAACTCAGAAGGGTATCAGCAGAGGAAGGGGTGTGGCTTAGGGAGGAGAATGAGAAGGGTAGCCAACTGTCAGGAATCCCAGAGTTTTATTTCTTAACCGGGTTTTCTTCTACTATCCCTGATATGATGTACAGACAGCAGGTTTCCCTTTGTCTCCTTCAGCTGCTGTGAGGCCTTTGGCTTTGGAGGACTAGCAAAACTAAGGAGACAATGCTCTCCTGTTGTGTCTCTATTGCTTTAACTGTAGCCCTCCAGGACTCATGGGCCACAATGGTGAAATTTAAGATTCACCTCTCAAGCATGGGAACCCTGACCAATGGCAAGGTTTTCTAAGATGGGATAATCATACCTATGTCCTCCCCAGTCCCTCCCTGGTTCTGAACCCTTTATCCATGAGTTTATGTTGGGAATGCCTCAAGATTAACACGCTTGAGGCCCCCTTTCATAGAAATGAAGATAACAGCTACCCAACACGGGCCAACCCTTCTACCTACACTTTGGTATATGAAGTGTCCAAACACAGATTTTGTGTGAGTCTATGGCCAGGTCCCAGGCATCCATGTCTTATTCCCAGGCTGCACCCCTGAAAAGGGATACCACATAAAGGAGAGAAGTTGGGGCCAGAGGTGTTGTGAGTATGAGATGGATGTTGTCAAAGGAGGTTGTGGGGCATGAGTTGCAGTGGATTGGTTTTAGTGGTATTTAGAACAGTATTGGAAGCCATGCTTAGTAACTGATCTGTGGTTTCACCCAGGCTACATAAATGCGATTGGAGTGAGAGCTATTAAGGGTAGAAAAGTTTCATTGACATATTGGTTGGAGGGAAAGGGGGTGGGGTGTAAAAGTCCTGGTCGGGGAGTCATTGGTGATTGGGGTTCCCTTTAGGTGAGGAAATCTCTCCCTCCAAGCCAAAATATTCAAATGGATGATGTTACAAGTGTATTTTGAATCTGTGTATATGTTAACAGAAAGATCCTTACTCAAGGTAAGGGCCATGAGTTCAGCCTGTTGGGAAGTGGTACCTGGGGTCAGAGGTTTGGCATTGATAAGGATGTATGTTGTGGAAGAATTGGGGTGACCTTGGAAAATGGCATAAATAGGTGATTTTAGGGGCTTCCATCTATAAATTGGTTTGGGGTTTGGGGTATCTATGCACGGAGTATCTGAAATATGTGTGCAGGGTTGAGGGTGGGGCAGGGCTCAAAAGGTAGGTTAGGGTAAAAAAAAAAAATACTTGTAGATGGGTGGTGGTGGTGGTACATGTCTTTAATCCCAGCATTTAGGAGGCAGAGTCAGATGGATCTCTGAATTCAAGGCCAGCCTGGTCTACGGAACGAGTTTCAGGACAGCCAGGGCTACACAGAGAATTCCTGTTTCCAAGCATGCTCCCTCCCACACTGCAAAAGAAGATATACACAGGTATTTGGACTCAGGAAAGCAGTAGGGTGAAGGAGGCCTGGTGACTGTGGTTGGGATAAGTAGACAGTTAATAGATGTGTAAAGAGATTTTGTTAACTTCTGTATTAATTATGGTGGTAGCAGCCAGAACCTATAGGCAAGGAGGCCATCCCCACATGATAAAATGCTGTTGTTTAGAAAGTTATGCCAAGGGATTGTAGATATCCCCTACTAGTTGGCAGAGGAGAGCTAGGGCTTGGTCCTAATTAACATACAGGAACGGAAAAGAAAGGTTTAGTACTACTGGTCTAAATAAAAGTATCAATAAAACGACTCCTAATGATACTATGCTATACTCATTGATCAGTGCCTTATCCAGTCATTAGATCAGAGAGGCTTCCTCCAGCAGCAGATGGGAATAGATGCAGAGACCACAGCCAGACATTACATGGAGACAGAGTCTTTCCCTGAGCTCAGGGAACCCTGAGGAAGAGTCAGAAAGTGGGGATAGTGGATACCAGGAGAACAAGATCCCCCAAATCAACTAAACAAAGCTCATATGAACTCACAGAGACTGGAACAGGAAGCACAGGGCCTACAAGGGTCTGCACCAGGTCCTCTGTGTATATATTATAGCTTTCACTTTAGTGTTTTTATGGACTCCCAAGAGTGTGCACAGGTGGGTCTCTGATTCTTGTGACTTCTCTAGGAGCTCTTTTCCTTCTGTTGGGTTGCCCTGTCCATCCTTGATGTGATCGTTTTGTTTTATCATGTTTGGTTGTTATCTCTTAGAAACCTCTTCCTTTTCTAAGGAGAGACAGAAATGGCATGGATCTGAAGGGCAGGGAATCGGAGAGGAACTGGGAGGAGTAGAGGGAGGGGAAACTGTAACCAGATATATTGTATTAGAAAATAATCTATTTTCAATAAAAGGAAAGGAGAGAGAGAGAGAGAGAGAGAGAGAGAGAGAGAGAGAGAGAGAGAGAGAGAGAGAGAGAGAGAGAGGGG